AAAAAATGAGATTGAAGTGAATTATAAAATTGAAGGCAGTTCGACCAAAGATCATTAAGGTAAACTATGAGATAAGAACTTACCATGTTGATTGTAGCAACACATTCCTTGTGCATGCATCAAGAAAAGCTTGCTATAGTCCTCCATGTTCCAATAGAGTTAACTTGTAAGGTAAGAGATCAACATTTCTGGTTCAGGTCATCACAATACACCATCACATATATAAGGGCCAAAGAATTTGTTATTGACATTCAGAACTGATTAGATCTAAACATATTTATTGTACCCTCTTTATGTGTTGGTGTACTATGCTAACCTGAACTCACTGCTCAAGCAAATCTAGAAGCATTGAGTTTAAAGATGAGCTTTCGAGCCTTTGTCGCTATAAACTGAAAAGAGAATAATAAAGATGCAATTCTATATTAGCAACTTAATCTTTGTGTACTCCAACAATTATCCAACAAAGATACTGTTCATAAAAAACAAAAAGCGATATTTAAGTCTGAATTCAGGTAGAAACGAAAGAAAGGGAGTAGAGAGAGATGTTGAGATGAAGATGTAAAAGAAAATTAAACCATATAAGCAGAAAGTGCAACCTTACTAATAATTGATCTTGGTGTTGCAACTGTTGAAAGGAAAGTTGGTTATTTGGAAGTAGTGAGTACTGATATCATTGTGTTGACCAATTTATGATTCATTCGGGTGTATATCAACTTTGCCAAGAAACCAGAAAAATCCAGATAACGAAGGAATCTAATAGAGATATTGACAAGGCGTAGAAGAGATATATTAAACTTTAATTTATTCACAATGTAACACTGAAAATTAAAATAAAAAAAATGACTTCGAAATCTGTAAAGAATAACTACCTTTTCCCAATATCTCCTCTGGCTTACTCAACAGATATAAACATAACAAAATTGCTATACAGAAATTGGAGAAAACTTCAGTGCGAAAAGACAAAAATTGCCCATGCAGGACTTGAACCTGCGACCTTTGTGTTATTACACACGACGCTCTAACCAACTGAGCTAATGGGCCTTGGTGAATTCAACAAAATCATAACATCAAAAACTTAAAACTAAGTTCAATACTATTTGGTTTCAAAACAACACATTTAGGGCCTGTTCGGTAAGGCTCGGAATTGCATTTCTTGACTTCATAAAAGGAAATAAGTAGAAAGGTTGTTCGGTAAACCCAAATAAAAGAAACAGAAAGGTATTTCAATAAGTTAGGAAATGTGTTTTATCAGAAGTTTTTCTAGGTTCTTTCGGTCTTTCTCCTTTTCCCTCTCCTACTTTCGTGGAAATTCTTTTCCTACTTCCTCTGATTTGCCCAACGGGTCCTTACTGCATCACTTATAAGTAGTTTGAGCCTGTAGTATCATACAGTACTGGTTTATTGCTTTCATCTACAGTTTCTTCATCAAATTATATCATATCAATTTTGTAGTCACATGCAGTCTATGCCAACTTCGCAAATGCAGTTTCTTGACTTCTTCACATCTCATTTTACGTTTCCATTTACTCAAAAGCATGTTAAAAAAATAACATTTTCGATGATGATAAAGAAACACCAATATTAATATCATTTTAAAATAAGCTGCTAATAGAAACTTCCCAGAATGCCCTTTGATACTATTGCTCAAATGTCCAAAGTCAGCAATGGCCTCAAAACTGCCAACCATTTTATTAAGCTTTCATCTTAGATGTATAACAGGAGAAGATAGATAGAAGTTGAACATTTATAATTTTAACTCGAGACAACAAAAAAGAAAAGTTTGAAAATGGATGATCCCACAATTTCTTAGTAGTCACAGATATGTTGTTAGAATTCTTTTCCTTGGTCTAATATATTGAACAGTTTTTTAATGTAATTCTAACCTTTAATAAAATAAACGAAGAGATTTTTCTTCTTTTAATAAGGTAAAAGATTAGCTAAATAAGCTCTTAGGGTAGTTTAACCTTTCATATTAAAAAATGACTTACTGGTGATGGCAAGTCTGATTCCGCATTGTATACTGCTGGTAGATCTGCTCTTCTGTTATTTAACCTGCTCTTTGAGTTGCTCTTCAGTTACAGCTGTAAACAAACCCATTAATTCACAAAATTCATTTGTGTGAACATATAAACTGTATAACACAGATAAACCACAATATATAAAATACAATTAAGTATCATTCTCTATGCTAAAGTAGTAAAAGTTGACACCAAACGCTTACGGTTTTTTACAACAATTTTTGATAGTGATCATTACCAACTTTCCTACTAACACTCAATCAAGCTTCTACAAACCCAATAATGAACATCGAGAACTTAATAGTAGTACTAAGATCATCATTGTTGCTACGTATCTGCTAGAGTATTTTGTTTTATGTAGGCCGTCCCTTTAACATGGTGTTCTGCCTAATTATGCTCGACTTAATATGGTCAATCAGGAAACCTTTTTCATTATCATACACTCTGAAATATCAGGTCGTTCTTTGCTTGCTTTTGAAAAGTGAATAAATGTAAATGTTTTTCTTAATCAAATTTTAGTGCCCAAATAATCTCTCGATCTCAACTAATCTGTTTGCATTGTATGGTATATTAATAAAACATTTTATCATTTTGAATTTGCTTGTACTTGATGTGGCTGCGTTCACTGGATTTTCAATATTGCATGGCAAGGGCAAAGTATGAATTTAAGAGCTTGGCATTTCTGCTTTCTCTGATAAAAATGTGTTCATGTGAATAATCCAAAACAAAAGAAAGAAAAAAAAAATTGATGCGGAGACCATACAAAATTTGAATCCAATCTACCAAACAGATAGTCAAAAAAGGAGAAGAAAGGCTAGGAAAAAATCGGTTTTGAAAAATTAGAAACGGAAAAACAAAACTTAAAACCAAAAATATATTTGAACAAATTATCTTGTTAAAAAATTAGCATCCATTTACCAGTGCAGGTCTACATCTTCTTCTTCATCACTCTTCTCTCTACTTCTTAATTATTCTTAAACACCAAATTTTAAACCAAAGTAACCTAAACATGCGAATTAGGAATAACAAATTGAAGAATTTATTATATGGGCAAATTGTTGCATACATTAATCAGGAAATTTGGTGGTATGAATGGAGCATGTAATAGAATTAGCAGTGATAAGAACAAATTGCTCACCTTAGATTCCGATCTTAGAAAAACCTTGAAATGATGCTCTACATGAAAATCTTCTTGAATGTGATTTGTCCTTTACAATCTTGCACCTGGCAACAAACAAAGCATAGTAGCAAATAGATGCTAAAATGAACCCTGCACCTTCCAAGAATAAAATGTGTCCATGTGAATTGCAATCAAAGTTGAATGGTCAATTAATAAATAAAAAAACATAAGAATAGAAGAGCTATACTTCTGCGCAAACTGCCTTGTTCATATGGTTATTATATAAGTCAATCAAACAGTAGAATTAAAATCATATAGAAATTGTAATGTCAGTGTAAGAAATTTACAAATTGGAGTGTCAGTGTAAGAAATTGTTGATGAAAATAGAATTAAAGGGGAAACAGAGATATCTGATAAGGATTTTTTTTTGTACAAAGTTTTCATGTGGTTAAACAAAAAACAGTGTGGACATAATTAAAAAGGACACTGCTGCTTGTGACTATACAAAACATGTGAATCTATACATTTAAAACGAAATGATTTCATTGATGTTCTTACTTGAAGCACAGATACTCGAAGTTAGATCGTCTAATTTTGCATATATAGCATCACATTGAGGGTGATTTTGGTCCCTTGACATGAAGCAATTAACAGCACCACCAATCTCTATCCAGCTGCAGCCAATATCCTTCCTCAAACCTTTTTCTCTCATGTCTTTCCTTACTCTGTCAGCACTGTCCCACATCTCCTTCCCAGCATATATATTTGACAACAAAACATGATAACCAGTCACATCATTTTCTGTTTTCAATTCGAACAGCTTATCTGCAACTATCTTTCCCAACTCAGATTTTCCATGTATCCTACAAGCGCTAAGAAGTGACCCCCAAATTCCAGCAATATTGCCCTTTTCATCTAATTGTTTAACAAACTCATAGGCTTCCACCACCATACCAGCCCTGCCTAACATATCGACTACACAACAATAGTGCTCAGTGGTGGGCGATACTCCATATAGAGTTTGCATTGATTCAAATATTTGGAAACCCTCGTCAACCAACGCAGAATAGCTGCATGCAGATAAGACTGCAACAAAGGTGATAGCATCAGGATTCATGTCAGATTCAGACATGCTCTGGAACATAGACAAAGCTTTTTCACCCATACCATGTTGACCATAGCCTAATATCATGGTGGTGTATGTGATCGAGTTCTTCTCATGTAAGCTATTAAATATTTTCTCTGCATAGCCGATAGAAGCACATTTCGAGTACATGTCTATAAGAGCAGTGCCAACAAAAACATTGTGGTCAACTGAATGGCGAATAGCAAAGGCATGTATTTGTTTCCCCAAATTGATTCCTCCCAAAGGGATGCAAGCTGGGAGAATGGAGGCCAGTGTCACAGCGTTAGGTGTTTTGTTTTGCTTGAGCATCTCACAGAAGACAGTAAAAGCCTGTTCAATCTTCCCATTTTGTGTGTATCCAGCTATCATGGCATTCCACGTGACATGATCTCTGGTGTGGACACAGCTTAACTGAAATAGCCGTTCTGCACTGTCAATCAAGCCAGACTTGGAATACATATCAATAACATAACTGTCCATTCCCTCAAATCTGATCCCATATCTAACGAGATAAGCATGAGTTTGTTTCCCAAGATCAGCATTTCTAAGATTTGATGCAGCTGAAAGCAAAGCAGTTGCTGTTATCGAATCAATCGACAACCCTTGTTTCTTCATATCGTATACAAGCATTAATGCTTCATCATCAAAACCATTCTGCACAAAGGCAGAGACCATGGTATTCCAAGAAACAAGGTCTCTTTCCCCCATCTTGTTAAAAACTTTAAATCCTATCTCAACAAAATTGCACTTTGAATACATTGAAATGAGTGCATTTGAAATAATTACCTGACATTCCATTGAGTTCTTGACAACATAAGCATGAATCTGCTCCCCAATACCATGCCGTTGTGATTGTGAAACTGCTGTGAGGGAAGCAACAAAAGTTACAGTATCAGGAGCAATGTGGTTCAACTTAAGAACCTCGAGAAAAAGATGGAGAGCTTCATCGAAACAATCATTCTGGGCATATCCACCAATCATGCTGTTCCAAACTTCAATGTTTCTCTCTGAACTGCGATCAAATACTTTTCTTGCAGCATCCATGTCACGAAGCTCTGAATACATGAAGATGGCAGAACTCAAAGCAAACATGTCGTTACCATACTCACTACCCAATTTCAGAAGCAAAGCATAAAGAATGTAAGAATTTTTTATATCTCCAATCGTTGCAACAGCTGGAAAGACATGAACAAAACTAACCACCGTTGGCCTGATTCCAATTTCCAGCATTAATATGAAATGCCTCAATGCTTTTACAAACCTTTTTGTCTTCACATACCATGCAATTATAGTATTCCATGCAACCACATTTCTCTTGCGCATTGTATCAAACACTTTTTGAACTAAATCAATATCATCAACTGATGAACAACTAGAATACATATTCAAGAGGGAATTACTGACAATACCAGTGACCTTGGAATGAGACCGAAGTATGCGACAATGAATAGCTTTTCCTAGTTGAAGTTGTTGGGTATCGGCACACGCTTTGAGTACAGAGGAATAAGTGTAAGAATCAGGTTTATTTGGCTTTGAAGAAGAATTGATCATTCGAGCAAAGAAGAGGAGTGCTTCATGGGGCATTGCATTACAGATGAAACCAATGATGATGGTATTCCATAGGACAGTATTTGGACGAGGAATAGCATCAAAGAGTCGACGGGCAACATCTGGTCGACCTTCTTTGCATAATTGACTGAGACGTGATCTAGTTGTGGAGGGCTTATTAGACTTTTGGAGTGTGGTAGAGTTGTCAATCAAGTTAAGAGGTGGTTGG